CATACATACAATGTCCTTTAACCATCTGACTCTCGTGAATACACTATGAGACATACATACAATGTCCTTTAACCATCTGACTGATGTAAATACACTATGAGACATACATACAATGTCCTTCTACCATCTGACTCTCGTGAATACACTATGAGACATACATACAATGTCCTTCTACCATCTGACTCTCGTGAATACACTATGAGACATACATACAATGTCCTTCTACCATCTGACTCTCGTGAATACACTATGAGACATACATACAATGTCCTTTTACCATCTGACTCTCGTGAATACACTATGAGGCATACATACAATGTCCTTTAACCATCTGACTCTCGTGAATACACTATGAGACATACATACAATGTCCTTTAACCATCTGACTCTCGTGAATACACTATGAGACATATATACAATGTCCTTTAACCATCTGACTCTCGTGAATACACTATGAGACATACATACAATGTCCTTCTACCATCTGACTCTCGTGAATACACTATGAGACATACATACAATGTCCTTTAACCATCTGACTCTCGTGAATACACTATGAGGCATACATACAATGTCCTTTAACCATCTGACTCTCGTGAATACACTACGAGACATACATACAATGTCCTTTAACCATCTGACTGATGTAAATACACTATGAGACATACATACAATGTCCTTTAACCATCTGACTCTCGTGAATACACTATGAGACATACATACAATGTCCTTTAACCATCTGACTCTCGTGAATACACTATGAGGCATACATACAATGTCCTTTAACCATCTGACTCTCGTGAATACACTATGAGACATACACACAATGTCCTTTAACCATCTGACTCTCGTGAATACACTATGAGACATACATACAATGTCCTTCTACCATCTGACTCTCGTGAATACACTATGAGACATACATACAATGTCCTTCTACCATCTGACTCTCGTGAATACACTATGAGGCATACATACAATGTCCTTTAACCATCTGACTCTCGTGAATACACTATGAGACATACATACAATGTCCTTTAACCATCTGACTCTCGTGAATACACTATGTGACATACATACAATGTCCTTTAACCATCTGACTCTCGTGAATACACTATGAGACATACATACAATGTCCTTTAACCATCTGACTGATGTAAATACACTATGAGACATACATACAATGTCCTTTAACCATCTGACTCTCGTGAATACACTATGAGGTATACATACAATGTCCTTTAACCATCTGACTCTCGTGAATACACTATGAGGCATACATACAATGTCCTTTAACCATCTGACTCTCGTGAATACACTATGAGACATACATACAATGTCCTTTAACCATCTGGCTCTCGTGAATACACTATGAGACATACATACAATGTCCTTTAACCATCTGACTCTCGTGAATACACTATGAGACATACATACAATGTCCTTTAACCATCTGACTCTCGTGAATACACCATGAGGCATACATACAATGTCCTTCTACCATCTGACTCTCGTGAATACACTATGAGACATACATACAATGTCCTTTTACCATCTGACTCTCGTGAATACACTATGAGGCATACATACAATGTCCTTTAACCATCTGACTCTCGTGAATACACTATGAGACATACATACAATGTCCTTCTACCATCTGACTCTCGTGAATACACTATGAGACATACATACAATGTCCTTCTACCATCTGACTCTCGTGAATACACTATGAGGCATACATACAATGTCCTTTAACCATCTGACTCTCGTGAATACACTATGAGACATACATACAATGTCCTTTAACCATCTGACTCTCGTGAATACACTATGAGACATACATACAATGTCCTTTAACCATCTGACTCTCGTGAATACACTATGAGACATACATACAATGTCCTTTAACCATCTGACTGATGTAAATACACTATGAGACATACATACAATGTCCTTTAACCATCTGACTCTCGTGAATACACTATGAGACATACATACAATGTCCTTCTACCATCTGACTCTCGTGAATACACTATGAGACATACATACAATGTCCTTTAACCATCTGACTCTCGTGAATACACTATGAGACATACATACAATGTCCTTTAACCATCTGACTGATGTAAATACACTATGAGACATACATACAATGTCCTTTAACCATCTGACTCTCGTGAATACACTATGAGACATACATACAATGTCCTTTAACCATCTGACTCTCGTGAATACACTATGAGACATACATACAATGTCCTTTAACCATCTGACTCTCGTGAATACACTATGAGGCATACATACAATGTCCTTTAACCATCTGACTGATGTAAATACACTATGAGACATACATACAATGTCCTTTAACCATCTGACTCTCGTGAATACACTATGAGACATACATACAATGTCCTTTAACCATCTGACTCTCGTGAATACACTATGAGACATACATACAATGTCCTTTAACCATCTGACTGATGTAAATACACTATGAGACATACATACAATGTCCTTTAACCATCTGACTGATGTAAATACACTTTTTAATAACACTATGAGATTGGATCCAGAAGCAAAATATGCACAAAGTATAATAATTTTGCCAATGATTATTATCACCATATCATCTTAGACTGTGAATGTGCACTTTCAGAGAGAGAGAGAGATGCATTCTTTCTCCCTCTAATTGATAATCTTGATGTTGAAATGTATGTAAAAAAAGAGATGATGGTAAACCATGATATGTTAGCATTTTTTCTTGGTGCAGATGACAATGACATTGTTGGCATTTTACTGTTATAGAATTCTCTAAGTATTTATATAAAATAATTCAATATCCTAAACAACGTGTGGTAATATTACCAATAGTCCTCACTGTTTATAGCCTGTATATATGCGGGACACTAATATATACATGTATTCCTCACTGTTTATAGCCTGTATATATGCGGGACACTGATATATACATGTATTCCTCACTGTTTATAGCCTGTATATATGCGGGACACTGATATATACATGTATTTCTCACTGTTTATAGCCTGTATATATGCGGGACACTGATATATACATGTATTCCTCACTGTTTATAGCCTGTATATATGCGGGACACTGATATATACATGTATTCCTCACTGTTTATAGCCTGTATATATGCGGGACACTGATATATACATGTATTCCTCACTGTTTATAGCCTGTATATATGCGGGACACTGATATATACATGTATTCCTCACTGTTTATAGCCTGTATATATGCGGGACACTGATATATACATGTATTCCTCACTGTTTATAGCCTGTATATATGCGGGACACTGATATATACATGTATTCCTCACTGTTTATAGCCTGTATATATGCGGGACACTGATATATACATGTATTTCTCACTGTTTATAGCCTGTATATATGCGGGACACTGATATATACAGGTATGGTTTGTCAGTTAATTGTTTAATGACATAATTTTGATGTTTTCAGAATTTTCGGATTTATCTGGAGGAAATAAAGACATTCATTCATTGACCTTGTACCATCTGAGTGATGTAAATAGACTTTATAATAACACTGTTGTGTAACAGCGGGATAGCGTCTGTGTGGAACGACCAATACTAGTAAGGGGTTGATGGGATTTATTTTCGCCTGCTGTTCTATCGGGGATTTGGAGATCCCACCACAATATGGATAAGGCTGATAATACCCTAAAGCAAAATATAATAAGGGTGAATTAGTGACATACAGTTACAAGAATCTATAATTAAACAAACATCTTATTACATTTACTGTATACCATGAGCATGAATTTAAGCATATATTATCAGAACAGCCATCAGTATATTATTACAGCTACAAATCCGATTTATATAATACAATAGACATAAAAATATAACATTATACATACATACAATTAACACAAGTGTACTCAAATACTGTACAATATATTACTGATATTTATAGCTGTAAGCTATAAATTATAGCTAGAGATGAATGTATTCTAACAGATACAGATACAAGCTATAAACTATATAAATTACTAAAAGCACCTTATAACAACATGGTAGCTTTACACACTAATTACCTTATATTCTAATTGGTTACTTTAGCAATGACCTATCACACTACACACTAATGTATCATGACTTTGAAGAATAAGTAATATATTTACAACATTGCACATTATGCGGATGATATTGCAAATTATACTGTATAACAGATATTCAATTAAAAATGATAAAAGTATATTTAACAAGACTAAAATATCAGATCTTAACCTCCTTATGATAAATATAAATACTAAAGAAGTCTAAATTAACTTAACCCAATCAGTGCAGTGCTGTGAATCATGCAGAGTTGTAACGCAGCAATGACCAGAGAAGAGAAATGTTGAAGTGTTTAACGCTACAAACCTGGTCACCTGCTACAGAAACACTAGAACAGGCAATCACGTACGTTTAAAATACGTAAGTTTAAATACACAGTATTTACATACTGCTACAATTAGACATACAGACATTGTCCGTGTTCCATCTGACTGATGTAATTACCCTTAATACTAACACCATGAGACATACACTCAATGCCTTTGTGCCAACAGTCAGCAGATATCGGTGGTATCCTGGACATGTGTTAAAGGGTCAAGGTTATGTGTAGACATTAACCTTCTGCCAGGTGCATGTAACCTTCATACATTCCTATGACCCTATGACCCTTTAAGCAACATTCCACTATTGCATTGCAGAATGCTTGATTGTGATTGGTCACAGCACAATTAAATTCCATTTGTTACCTCTAAACTAAGCCTTTTTTGCACAAACACCGTGCATATTAATACATCAGTTTTAAAGCTCTCGGTTCCAGATTATGATAAGAGATGTTGAATCCACGGTGAGACGACCCCAAGTTTAAAAATACGTTTTCTCTTAATTATGCCCGCACTCACCCTTATCAAAAAGCGCGAATCTATAATGATCCTTGCGTTTTCATTTCTTTCAGGTTCTTCAATTGCAAATTGCAAAGATGCCGTAGAAAGGGGATATGAAACCAATGTTTGTCACTACAAAACAGAACCATCAATTTTAAAATGTTCCCGGAATGAAGAAATATTAGTTTTGAAACTTTTACAAAGAACTGAGACAGACTGTAATCCAAATGGCGACGGTTGTTGTGAAAACAAGAGAGATGACAAACTGTACGACATCGGGGGGTGTTTGGTGAACGAGAGCGAGGCTAGCAGGAAGACGGTCTACCAGTCAGCGCTGCGCGAGGTCCTGGAGGAGTGCAGTCAGAGGAGGTACTGTCTCCTGGAGAGTCAGGGCACCCACCTCCGCAGCCTCATGAACATCACACTGGAGGGGAGGCGTCCGTCAGCCGTGCTGGTCAACCACGAATGTGTTAAAGGTAATTGTCGGATGGCCTTATTTTGAAATAGAAATAGAATAACGAATACGCTCGATGCAGTTTTTAAGTTGCAAAGGATAAGGTATTATAAGGACCATAATTTCATAGTTACAGACAGTTTAGTTAATTTAAAGATATCAGCCATACTCAGAGTTGGTCTTCAGTTACCCATGCTTGTTGTAAGACTAAAGTGAGTGAGTGAGTGAGTACGGGTTTACGCCGCTTTTAGCTATATTCCAGCAATATCACGGCGGGGACACCAGAAATGGGCTTCACACATTGTACCCATGTCGGGAATCGAACCCGGGTCTTCGACGTGACGAGCGAACACTTTAACCACTAGGCTACCCGACCGCCCCTTGTAAGACTAAAGAGGATCGGGTGGTCAGGCTCAGTGGCATGGCTGATTGCATGGCCTTCTGCTACAGTTGGGTGAATTTTTACTCATGGGAGCACGGGTGGTCCAGTCGTCTAAGGCGCCGCGATTCGCTGTGCAGAGTTGCGTCCCTTTGGCACACCAGAAACCTATGATTGTGGGTTCGAATCCCTGTTCGCCCCGATTATGTTTCTAGGTTTGTCAGCACCATACCCGTGCTTGTGGGTTTCACCGGAGTGGTAAACGCCGTGATATAACTGGAAAACTGTTAAAAGCGGCGTTAAACTCAACTCACTCACTCACACTCACTGTACGGATAACAAATCCCGTTTGGGACAACATGACTTCGTAACTTGTTATTATTCTTACACAGCGGATGAATCAGTGAAAGTTTGCCAGAACCAGGCAAGAAAAGGTCCACATGTCTACATCGGTCTTGGCCAGACGATGACGTCATCAGCTGCGACCTGCACGTGTACAGTAAGGGGAGGTAACCGCGTTCAGCTGCTCGATGTCCGGCTTGGTGAAGGTCAGAGCAGACTGTTCCTCAGAGACAATGACAACACAGTCCTCACGCTCGGTGGCGAGGACATCCATTTCATGCAGACAAAGACGATCGGCCTGTCAGAATGGAGTTTGCATCTCGAGGTGGACCAGGAGAGCCGCCCACACAGTGTCTGGATGAAAGTGGAAGGTGCTGTCCTCTGTCATAACGGACCTGTCAAAATGCATTTCATATATCATTCAAATATCTCCAAGGTCGTAAAACATATTTTCGTTTCCTCCTTTTTTTCAGTGGAATATATTTTTAGTCAATGAAAGATCAATCTTTCTCTTATTTCTGCTTAAAGATGTCTTTCTGTATAATCCGATATTCACAGAACTTATTTGAAAACCGGATTTTTTACCAGATAAAGCCAGACAGCATAAACGGGCAAGGGAAAGTATACAACAATGTTTGATGGTGGCTAAAATGAAACAAACACGAAATAGTTATTCGATGTTGATGTTCAAGTGTATGCTTCGTTTTGTTCCTCCGTTTAGTTTAGCGAGTGTTTACGTGACCCACACGACGACGGGACAGTGTTTCTACTGTCTCTGGAAGCCCCCGGAGTAATCAGACCATGTAATTGTACTTATAACTGATCGTGGGTTCGAATCCCATTGCTCTGTGATTATGGTTCTTGGTTTGTCGGCGCCATACTCATGCTCGTGGGATTCACCAAAGCCGAACACGTCTGGGACATGTTGCATCGCAGGATTGTCTCCAACATCAAGCTGATACGACATTATATATCTGAAATATTGTTCAAATCAGCGTTAATATCAACTCACTCACACTCACTCTACGCATCTCCGTATATACTAGTTCCCTAACGCACTATAATTGGTTTTTGTTTCGCCAGGATCCGGTAATTCTACGGTTGACGTCACATGCAGTGGTAGGTTCTTTACAACTTTACATTTATATCATCATTTAAATACTGTTGTTCTTCTGTAGCTATACATGTAAGCCCATTTCTGGTGTCCCCCGCCGTGATATTGCTGGAATATTGCTAAAAGCGACGTAAAACCATACTCACTCACTCGCTCACTCACTATCCATGTGAAGAATGTTATACTGTAACTTGTCACGTATTACAACAGAGAACCGAATCCTCTTCTTTCATGCAAGATTTTAGTTTCAACAAATTTATGTTTCATTATTCAGATACACAAGCAAGCCCCTCCCCATCCTCCTCATCAGAAGCACCCACAGCAGCATCCCCAACACTTGCACTTCCCGTACAGCCGAGCCCGACGTCAAATTGTAAGTTTTTAAAATGTTTGAACCACTCTATTCTGTATTTCATGTGAACCAATATCTGTTCCAAGCGTTTCACGTCTGAACCACTCCCGCCCACGTTTCATTTAATGTCTGAACCACTCTCTAACATGTGTTTCAGGTCTGAGCCACTATGTCTTGTGTTTCATGTCCGAACTACTATTTGCCTCACTTGTTTCAGGTCTGAACATCATCTGTTGTGTGTTTCATGTCTGAACTACTATGTCTTGTGTTTCATGTCCGAACTACTATTTGCCTCACTTGTTCCAGGTCCGAACACCATCTGTTGTGCGTTTCAGGTCTGAACGACTCCAATTTATGTCTAACCCACACTGTGCCCTATGTTTCTCATGTCTGAACCGGGCGGTCGGGTAGCCTAGTGGTTAAAGCGTTCGCTCGTCACGCCAAAACCCGGGTTCGATTCCCGACATGGGTACAATGTGTGAAGCCCATTTCTGGTGTCCCCCGCCGTGATATTGCTGTGCTGTGTGTTTCAGGTCTGCACCACTCATCTCAACCACTACATGTGTCGTGTTTCAGGTCTGAATCACTATCTGTGTGATATGTGTCGTGCCTGCTCCACTCCCTGTCACACGTGTATCAGGTCTGAACCACTATCTGAACCACTACATGTGTCGTGTCTAAACCACTCTCCGTCGCATGTTTCAGGTCTGACCCACTATCTGAACCACTACATGTGTCGTGTCTAAACCACTCTCCGTCGCATGTTTCAGGTCTGACCCACTATCTGAACCACTACATGTGTCGTGTCTAAACCACTCTCCGTCGCATGTTTCAGGTCTGACCCACTATCTGAACCACTACATGTGTCGTGTCTAAACCACTCTCCGTCGCATGTTTCAGGTCTGACCCACTATCTGAACCACTACATGTGTCGTGTCTAAACCACTCTCCGTCGCATGTTTCAGGTCTGACCCACTATCTGAACCACTACATGTGTCGTGTCTAAACCACTCTCCGTCGCATGTTTCAGGTCTGACCCACTATCTGAACCACTACATGTGTCGTGTCTAAACCACTCTCTGTCGCATGTTTCAGGTCTGACCCACTATCTGCCGTACGTGTTTCTTATCCTTGGCCTGGCGTCTGGCTTCCTGACGGGAGTTGTCCTGGCAGTGTACGTCAAAAGGTAGGTGCATTCCACCGCAGGAAGGTGGGCTGTGTTCATGTATTGGCGGTTGCAACTTACTGATTATGAACTTAGTTGATATTAAACCAAATGTTAGAGTAGTCACATGGAACAATTACTTGATGACGTTATAATTCACATCTATCTCGGGACGGTGGGGTAACCTAGTGGTTAATGCATTTGCTCGTCACGCCGAAGACCCGGGTTCGATTCCCCAGATGGGTACAATGTGTGAAGCCCATTTTCCGGTGTCCCCGCCGTTATATTGCTGGAATATTGCTAAAAGCGTCGTAAAACCATATTCACTCACTCACTCATATTTACCTCTGTCAGAATTCTGAAACGATCGCCTTTCAAGAAGAAGCCTCCCCCACCCCCCTCTGTTGTCCCGGGGAAAGGGAGAAGTCCCGAGGAGCCAGTCTACTCCCTCCCCTACAACAACCAGGGGAGACTGATTGTAGTCAGGTCCCTGAAGAGACCCCGCGGAACCTTCTCTCAGGGTGACACGAACACCCAGCCAAAGCACAGTTATTCATCTAATCCAACCATTGACAAGGGGTTTGTGTACTCCAAGGTAATGTGTGAATATCAACAAACATATAAACATTCCCGTTCGATGTTGAATCATAAAGTAATAATTCCCTTTAAAAACAAAGGCATAAGATAAAATTATGTAAAAGGTGAACTTTTATTATATTGAATAAAATGATTCCCGAAAATATAATAAGCACATATTATAGTTTGCAAACAGTTTATTATTCTATTATGTAAGTTCTATATCGGCTTGTATCGTAAAACGTTATGATAATCTATATTTAGGGTGACGCTATCGCTTCAAGCGAGGAGAAGCTGAGAACCCCGACATATCCTTGGTCCGACTCTTGCTCAGGGAGCACAGGACCTTAGAATCTCACGGCTGACAACTTACTACCTGGATTGCTGGGTCCATTCCACTCAACACACCGGTGAAACAGTAGAAACTTCATGTAATTGAAAATCACGGTTGAACAAAACTTAGTACTAATGCCTGGAGCATGTAGGTATCAACTCTTTTAGCGGAAGCTGGTATCTGTTGTACGCCAGTTGTATCTACACATGAGTTGACTGTTGTACGCCAGTTGTATCTACACATTAGTTGACTGTTGTACGCCAGTTGTACCTTCACATGAGTTGACTGTTGTACGCCAGTTGTATCAACACGTGAGTTGACTGTTGTACGCCAGTTGTATCTACACGTGAGTTGACTCTTGTACGCCAGTTGTATCTACACGTGAGTTGACTGTTGTACGCCAGTTTTATCTACACGTGAGTTGACTGTTGTACGCCAGTTGTATCAACACGTGAGTTGACTGTTGTACGCCAGTTTTATCTACACGTGAGTTCACAATTGTACGCCAGTTGTACCTTCACATGAGTTGACTGTTGTACGCCAATTGTATCTACACGTGAGTTGACTGTTGTACGCCAGTTGTATCTACACATAAGTTGACTGTTGTACGCCAGTTGTACCGTCACTTGAGTTGACTGTTGTAAGCCAGTTGTACCTTCACATGAGTTGACTGTTGTACGCCAGTTGTATCTACACGTGAGTTGACTGTTGTACGCCAGTTGTATCTACACGTGAGTTGACTGTTGTACACCAGTTGTACCGTCACTTGAGTTGACTGTTGTACGCCAGTTGTATCTACACGTGAGTTGACTGTTGTACACCAGTTGTATCTACACCTGAGTTGACTGTTGTACGCCAGTTGTACCTTCACATGACTTGACTGTTGTACGCCAGTTGTATCTACACGTGAGTTGACTGTTGTACGCCAGTTGTATCTACACCTGAGTTGACTGTTGTACACCAGTTGTACCGTCACTTGAGTTGACTGTTGTACGCCAGTTGTATCTACACGTGAGTTGACTGTTGTACGCCAGTTGTACCGTCACTTGAGTTGATTGTTGTACGCCAGTTGCATCTACACGTGAGTTGACTGTTGTACACCAGTTGTATCTACACATGAGTTGACTGTTGTACGCCAGTTGTATCTACACGTGAGTTGACTGTTGAACGCCAGTTGTACCGTCACTTGAGTTGACTGTTGTACGCCAGTTGTATCTACACGTGAGTTGACTGTTGTACACCAGTTGTATCTACACGTGAGTTAACTGTTGTACGCCAGTTGTATCTACACGTGAGTTGACTGGTGTACACCAGTTGTATCTACACGTGAGTTGACTGTTGTACGCCAGTTGTATCTACACGTGAGTTGACTGTTGTACGCCAGTTGTATCTACACGTGAGTTGACTGTTGTACACCAGTTGTATCTACACATGAGTTGACTGTTGTACACCAGTTGTATCTACACGTGAGTTGACTGTTGTTCTTGATGACCATTGTCTCGTGCTATATTTTACACTGCCAGTGATAAGAATTTAACAGAAACGTCTGAGTTCCCATTGTTTTATGTTACTGAGTGCAGTGCATTCAACGTGTTACCTGCAACACAATATTAATGTATTTACTATATATCATATTTTCATTGTTTTGACGTTTGTAGAAGTAGAATAATTAGAAGTCATTTTATATTCATTGTTAAACCAGTACACAAAAACCCTGTTAGTCCGGTAATCACTGGGGGACATAGACATATTTTCAAAGCGACGTCTCCGTTACCCGGAAATATTTGATTCATCAATATTTCACTGGGAACAGTAGCGTCCGGATTAACGAGGTTTGCCTGTATTTCACTGAGAACAGTGGCGTCCGGATTAACGAGGCTTCCCTGTATTTCACTGGGAACAGTAGCGTCCGGTTTAACAAGGTTTCCCTGCATTTCACCGGGAACAGTAGCGTCCGGATAAACGAGGTTTGCCTGTATTTCACAGGGAACAGTAGTGTCCGGATTAACGAGGTTTCCCTGCATTTCACTGAGAACAGTAGCGTCCGGTTTTACGAGGTTTCCCTGTATTTCACTGCCGTGTAAGGGTTGTTGTGCAGACATAGTCGGAAGTATGGCGACGCATCAAACAGTCGCGAGGGCATGTCAACAGTTTAGTTTCAGAGCCTTTGAGAATATACATTGATGTATTGTATCAGCTGCCCCTCCAACCCTCGACATGTTAAAGTTGTTCCGATGTTTATATTTGTTTTACATGTTTTATATTATCTATTAACTGTTTGATTGGCATTCTAGAAGTTGTTGAGGGAGTAAGAAAACGTACAACGTTATTAATAACATCTTCTGGCTTATTGCATGTAGATTTTTACAAACTTGATTAAGGTGGAAGTTATATGTTTTCTTACTTCATATTCTATGTTGTAAAATATCCAATCGTTACAGTTATTCCAGTTGCTACGTACTGCCAGTATCACCGTCCGCATCCATTATTCTTAAACCATTACATTCTCAGGATATATTGATGATCACCACCTCGTAAATATATAGTTCACATAACAAGCATAAGGTTATGCACTGCCAACCATGTGATATTCCGATTTACATACCAATAGGGGTCATACCGGTCATCGACCTGTCTGGAACCCAACCCTGCCACATTCAGTATTGTGGGGGCTATTCTACCCCCGGGCTGATTCATTCTATCCCCACTGTTTACAAACAAGACGATCCAGCTGACACAAGGGATCAAGGTGGATTTTTTATTCGAACCTCTGCGTAGAATTGGGGGACATCTGAGGTTTTGGCGCCCCCGTGCACCGCACCCCCCAGTGTGTAACTGATCTGTGTGGAGACAATCTCATTCTCTATGATTCGGTACGATTGTGAACCGAGCCCCCTCATTGTCCGGGAGGAACGTTTGTTCTCAGGGTCATGGAACCCAGGGCCCCGTCCCACAAAGCGATCGTAGCGCTAAGATGATCGTAACTCCCATACTTTAACATTAGCTTACGACAGTCGTAGTGCTACGTTCGCTTTGTGGAACGGGTCCCAGTGAACATATGTTCCTGGGGCAATGGTGGCTTACATGTGGACCTAGTCATGGGGCATTGTCACAGAGAACTGATTTGTCCTGGGATCGAGTTCCCATTGTCCAGGATATGGGAACAAACCCTAGGACATTGAGTTCGGAGGACAATGGCACGCGGCACCGGTTCAGTTCACACAGATACACAAACAGATAGACAGACAGGCAGACAGAGACACAGACAAAGACACAGACAGATAGACACACATACACACACACAGACAGACAGACAGACAGGCAAACAGACACAGACAGACATACGGGCAGACAGACAGACAAAGACACAGACACACCGACAGAGAGACACACCGGCAGGCAGACAGAGACAGACAGACAGAGACACGGACAGTCCGGAAGACGGACAGATGCACACGCACCAACATGCAGACACACACACTCACCCACCCACACTCACCCATCCACCCACCCACACTCACCCATCCACCCACTCTCTCTCTCTCCCACGCACGCACACACACCCACACTTACTCACTCACCCCCACTCACTCACTCACTCACTCACTTACCCTCTCTCTTTAATGTGTTTGATGTATTCTATTGCTTCGTCCACACTGTGGAAAATTAGTGCCACAGACATAGAACAAATATATAGATTTACACTTATTATACCAATGTGCTATAGACCATTGGAGCTCTATTGTAACATGTTGTTGATACACGGAAAGTTGTTTTCTATTTGTTCATTTGTGCACAATTCCGTGTTTGTAAGTAGAATAAATATCTTTATTTTTCGTTAAAACGAGTTTGAGTTTCTTAAGATTTGGGCGTGAATGTCCGGTCCATCTGTCAACACCCTGGTCTGTGCCAGATGGAAACTCAGTGTCACAGATCAGATGATGGGGCTTCGGTCCTGCCCCACGCTGAAGCACGTGTAGGGGATGTGGCGTCTCCCTTGGCAGGTGACATTGTTCGACATGTGCCTCTGTTCATCCAGCAGTGGGTACCCGGAAGGGTGAGATGTTAACTGCTAACCTTCTAGCGCCTTAAGGCAGCTTGGGTTGTATACTCCCCAGGGAGCTGAGAATAAAAGAACCGAGGGCCCACTGGTGCCTTAGCCGGGGTAATAATGTTAGCGCTTTGTGATTAAGTTATGTGTAAGGAGTAACACGCATTATTATTTGAGAAATGTAAATTCACATTGTGACGGTTTACTGGAGTATGAACGCTTTGAACCGTGCAAGTTAAAATCGTGTAAACGTCGGAATCTGCGACCAGGGAGTAATGCGAATATGTGAATATATATTTAAAGAAATCTTGAGTGAAAAAGAAACGTAAATTTATTGTCCGACATTGCCGATCCTCACGATCGTGGTAAGCAGGGGATAGGGAATTGTTCCACTCGGGGCTCCCCGTGACACGTAGTTCCTGTCCATTCGCCGGCCTCCTGCGACCACGAACATTTCCGAAGTGGCAGTCAATGTGAAACAAGCCATGTACTGCGGCGCCTCGTATTGAGGTCACAGGGTCAAGAGGTCATAGGTTACCGATGTAGGTTAGGAAACGTTCAAGGACGGTCGACCTGATCAGAATGAGGTGTTCACGGCGAAGTACAATTGGGTACTCATTGACGTGTTCCGCATCCACTTCCGTAGTTTCAGTAGTGAGTGTTGATATATTTGACATCAAAAGACACGAGGGTGAGATTCTCTGTGCAAGGCCAGACGTGGATTGGTTTGTTTATGAAGCATGCATAATTTGTTTCCTAGAGACTCCTGCTGCACAAGGGTGTATTGGTTGTACGTAAACAAAGATGTCCAGATTGTTGACCTCTGCTCGACCGACCCAAAACACTCCTATACACATATGTGATTATTACAAAATGGCTAAATATTCCAACTGTTAAAAAACTTGTGAGAAAGCAAGCTGTTTGATTATAAGTAGCTCTCATTTCGAAACTGAAACATAAATTGAGCATGTTCGACTATGTTAAATCAGAGTCAATATATCAGAGCAAACTGAATCATCTTTTCTGGATTCTTTTTATCCAGATTCAACTTATAAGGATTTATAGTTTTGCAAATCTCTTCTCATCTCGAACTCCAGAGCACTACGTATCTAGACCTCTGCATTTATATTTATAAACTTAACAGGATATCTCCTCATCCATACCTCTGCTTATCCAGATATGCACTTCCCTAGAACTCAACTTATCCAACTACTACTCAACGTTTGCTAAGGATCAAGTTTTTATGATATAAAAAAAACATCCAACAACTAAAGATAGAAATATCCCGATACATATTCATTTCATGATGAGCGGTTAGGGGCAGGGTCGTTGATGCCTTCTTAGAACAGGAGACCATTGTCCACATGGAGTGGTCAGTCCTGTCACCAGACCTCAAGCTTATCGAACATATGTGGAACAAGTTGTAGCTCGCTCTTTCCTTC